AAAGCAGAAGTCAATTCGATGGATCATCATCATCATCATTTGTTTTCCTCCTTTAGATGGATTAATAAAATCAAGTAGAACAATCTTAAAAATATGTATATGTCATATATAATCGTAATATTTTTATTTTCTCGAAAAAAAAAAGCAAATTATTATTTGATATAGACATATAGATACAAACAAATGGTATCAAATAGAATACAGAAAAGAGAAATATTAAGAAAACAAAATAAATATATTGCGATGAACAAACAAGAACAAAAAGACCATATATAAACATTTTTTATTCATTCGGTTATATAATAAAAATAGAAGTTTTTTTTATAAATGAAGTCGTAGCAAATAGAAAACTTGTTGAACATATTTCATATACGTGCTAAATATAAATAAGATTTTGCCATATATATATAACAATTGAATAGTTTATTATTGAATTTATTTCAATAGATTTTTGTATGAAAGTCTTCAAAAGATCAATATGAATATCTAAAATAATATTTATTTATTTATTTAAATAAAATTTTACCAAGACTTTATACAAGATTATGATATATTTAGAATAAGGATGTATTTCTATTTTTAAAAGATAAATATGAAAGATATATTTCCAAAATAAAATATCATTGATTAAATGAGCACATTGTAATAATGTTTTCTGTCTTTTTTTTGTGTTATGCTAAACAATGATGAACAATATTCCGATAAAGACATACAAAACAAAATAAAGAAATTTTACTTGTTGTATTACAGAAATAAGATGGATTTATATTTTAAGTAAATTAATTTAAATCTAAGACATTTCTAGGCAAGAAAAATAAATATAACAAGTAAGCATAATGTTAAGAATATAAAAAAGTTTTTATTCAAATTCATCAAACAAACATTCTAAGTGTTCTTTTGTATATTTCTACGACTAGTCAAGTTTTTATCAAAACTTTGAGAAACTTTTTGTTTATTTTTTTCTAGTACTGTCAAACTACTCATATTTTAGCATATTTCTTATTTTGTAAAGCTAAGAACATTTAGTTGAATATTAGAATCTTGCATTATTTTACATAATGAAATATATCAATGAGATATTTGTAAGTCTTCTTTAATTTTATTCAATAATTCTTGTAATTTAATACCACCACCACACCACCAGCATGATTTAATAGTTCGCTAATAAAATCTATGATCAACAAAAACAAAATTTTATCTTTAAAATTTTAATGCAAATTAAAAAGATCAATTCTACCTGATTTATCAATCGATTCTTCAATTAATATTGTTCATAATGATTGACCATCTTTTCCACGACAAAATCGTAGGACTTCTTCAATATTATTTCATTTTTCGAGAATTATTTGTTATGAAACACATCTATTTCTTGCTTGTCCTATAACAAATACATATATATTTCAATTTGTTTAGACGAAAAAAACAAATCAAATTCATACCACAAAGAAAATGAGTTTCATTATATAGTTCTGTTTTTTTTATTATCACAAATAGCTAGTATTTCTTGTAAATTATAATTTCTTGTTTTACATTAAAATTCCATTAATTTATCAGGTTATTGAATGATACTTATTTTGTATGAAAATCACGAGAAT